AAAAATACATTACACTTAAAGACTAGTTGCTAGACTGTAGTAGTTTGTTCGTATATATCTATTTTTCCCCAACGTATTGCATACTACATTTTGACAAGACTTGCAACCTTATAGTAACCTCGTTGGGAATTGTTCAAGCAAAGCGTAGGTAGTTAAGGTCGAGTAAGAGTTCTTCTTAAATCTTTCACTGAATGTAGTAGGTGTTGGAAGAACTGTTCTCTAAAGCGATACAGTTGCGCTACATGTTCGTCAACTTGTCTAGAAATAAATATATCATTTGTTTTATACGTTTTTTCGTAATAAATCTATTTGTATTTGTTGTATTTGAGTATGAAGATAACAAAAACTACGGCATAAGACGCAGTACACTGGGCTTCGTTGCCATTTTATTTACCATGTTAAGAATAAACTTAACAGACATGCTTTGTTTTCGACGAAGCCATCTAAAATAACGTACATCTAAATAAAACTAAAAAACTGTAAAATTTCTTTATTTGATAGTATACTTCAAATTATGCACTATACCTTCTAGAATTCTATAACACTCTTTGCATATAATTTTTTTAAAAAAAAGTTATATCTCGACAAAAATATGATTTATCAATAGAGTATGTAAAATAAAACTCATTCGCATTATTAAAAAATCGTAAATCTTTCCAAAAAAATTTTGAATTACAAATTTTAAAACTTAAAACAACATTTTTTGAAGCGAAAAAACGAAATCTAATTTTTTTTGGAAAATTTAGAATAAATAGAGCTCTTTAACTCGTCGAATACAAATTGTTTTCAAGTTTTTTTCGACCGGAAATTGAACTTTTAGAGTTTATACAATAAGATTCACATGAAAAAATACGGGTTTAACAAAGAAATCACCAATATAAAGGTTTTTTAGTAGAACGAGATTGATAAAAACTATGGTATGATAAAAAGACGATAATTTTTTGGCGGGATAATTGAAGAATATGAATGATTCGAATTACAGACATACTCTAGTCCGAAACTTACTATGGTTCGTGACTTATTTTTGACACAGAATAGCTGTAGACTAAGGCTTACTCTAGATCCAGACTTATTATACAATTAAATTTGCTTTTGGAATAAGACTTAATTTTAGTTACAAACTTATCTTAATATCAGACTTATATTTAGAATCAGACTTACTTTAGTCTAGAACTTACATTTAGAATCAGACTTCCATTTCAAGTCAGACTTACTTTCGTCCGAAACTTACATTTAGTCAGACTTACTTTCATCCAGACTTACATTTCAGTCAGACTTACATACTTACTTTCGTCCGAGACTTACATTTCAAGTCAGACTTACTTTCTTCCAAGACTTACATTTCAAGTCAGACTTACTTTCGTCCGAGACTTACATTTCAAGTCAGACTTCCATTTCAAGTCTGTCTTACTTTCGTCCGAAACTTACATTTCAAGTCTGTCTTACTTTCGTCCGAAACTTACATTTCAAGTCATACTTACTTTCGTCCGAGACTTACATTTCAAGTCATACTTACTTTCGTCCGAGACTTACATTTCAAGTCTGTCTTACTTTCGTCCGAAACTTACATTTCAAGTCATACTTACTTTCGTCCGAGACTTACATTTCAAGTCATACTTACTTTCGTCCGAGACTTACATTTCAAGTCATACTTACTTTCGTCCGAGACTTACATTTCAAGTCATACTTACTTTCGTCCGAGACTTACATTTCAAGTCAGACTTACTTTCATCCGAGACTTACATTTCTAGTCAGACTTACTTTCGTCCGAGACTTACATTTCAAGTCAGACTTACTTTCATCCGAGACTTACATTTCTAGTCAGACTTACATTTCAAGTTATACTTACTTTCGTCCGAGACTTACATTTCAAGTCAGACTTACTTTCTTCCAAGACTTACATTTCAAGTCAGACTTACTTTCGTCCGAGACTTACATTTCAAGTCATACTTACTTTCGTCCGAGACTTACATTTCTAGTCAGACTTACATTTCAAGTCTGTCTTACTTTCGTCCAAGACTTACATTTCAAGTCAGACTTACTTTCTTCCAAGACTTACATTTCAAGTCATACTTACTTTCGTCCGAGACTTACATTTCAAGTCATACTTACTTTCGTCCGAGACTTACATTTCAAGTCATACTTACTTTCGTCCGAGACTTACATTTCAAGTCTGACTTACTTTCGTCCGAAACTTACATTTCAAGTCAGACTTACTTTCTTCCAAGACTTACATTTCAAGTCAGACTTACTTTCATCCGAGACTTACATTTCAAGTCATACTTACTTTCGTCCGAGACTTACATTTCAAGTCTGTCTTACTTTCGTCCAAGACTTACATTTCAAGTCTGACTTACTTTCGTCCGAAACTTACATTTCAAGTCAGACTTACTTTCGTCCGAGACTTACATTTCAAGTCATACTTACTTTCGTCCGAGACTTACATTTCAAGTCAGACTTACTTTCGTCCGAGACTTACATTTCAAGTCAGACTTACTTTCGTCCGAAACTTACATTTCAAGTCAGACTTACTTTCGTCCGAGACTTACATTTCAACTCTGACTTACTTTCGTCCGAGACTTAAATTTCTAGTCAGACTTACTTTCGTCCGAGACTTACATTTCAAGTCAGACTTACTTTCGTCCGAGACTTACATTTCAAGTCATACTTACTTTCGTCCGAGACTTACATTTCAAGTCAGACTTACTTTCGTCCGAAACTTACATTTCAAGTCAGACTTACTTTCGTCCGAAACTTACATTTCAACTCTGACTTACTTTCGTCCGAGACTTACATTTCAAGTCATACTTACTTTCGTCCGAGACTTACATTTCAACTCTGACTTACTTTCGTCCGAGACTTACATTTCAACTCTGACTTACTTTCGTCCGAGACTTAAATTTCTAGTCAGACTTACTTTCGTCCGAGACTTACATTTCAAGTCAGACTTACATTTCAAGTCAGACTTACTTTCTTCCAAGACTTACTTTCGTCCGAAACTTACATTTCAAGTCTGTCTTACTTTCGTCCGAGACTTACATTTCAAGTCTGTCTTACTTTCGTCCGAAACTTACATTTCAAGTCAGACTTACTTTCGTCCGAGACTTACATTTCAAGTCATACTTACTTTCGTCCGAGACTTACATTTCAAGTCAGACTTACTTTCGTCCGAGACTTACATTTCAAGTCATACTTACTTTCGTCCGAGACTTACATTTCAAGTCATACTTACTTTCGTCCGAGACTTACATTTCAAGTCAGACTTACTTTCGTCCGAGACTTACATTTCAAGTCAGACTTACTTTCGTCCGAGACTTACATTTCAAGTCAGACTTACTTTCGTCCAAGACTTACATTTCAAGTCAAACTTACTTTCGTCCAAGACTTACATTTCAAGTCTGTCTTACTTTCGTCCGAGACTTACATTTCAAGTCATACTTACTTTCGTCCGAAACTTACATTTCAAGTCAGACTTACTTTCGTCCGAGACTTACATTTCAAGTCATACTTACATTAATATCAAACTTATATTAACCTACGACTTACTTTTATTCCCAGACATCTTGATCCACACTGACATTGAAAACTACTCATACATCTAAAGCCACTCAAACATCTAGATCCACTACGACATGGAGATCCACTCAAACATAATTTTTGCTCTCTAACTACATTTTTATATGATTTTACAACCTAAATTTTCTTCTTTACCTAAAGATTATTCGCAATATCTGAATGTCATTAATTAATTGAGATATTCAAGTTTTGACAGCGGATTTGGAAAGCAGACTTGATGGAGATTTTAAATCTGATGTCAAATCTTGGTTTTGTGCATTATTGGAAGAGAAAAAAGGGTGTTAATTGCAAATCTTAAATATAGGTTTTTACGAAAAATGTAATTAGGGTTAGAATCATAGAAAGATGTATCTGTCAGACATTGTTATGTGTGACAGATAATATTGCATCTCATAGACACTGTTGCATCTGTCAGACACTTTTGCATCTCATAGACACTGTTGCATCTGTCAGACACTGTTGCATCTCATAGACACTGTTGCATCTCATAGACACTGTTGCATCTCATAGACACTGTTGCATCTGTCAGACACTGTTGCATCTCATAGACACTGTTGCATCTCATAGACACTGTTGCATCTGTCAGACACTGTTGCATCTCATAGACACTGTTGCATCTGTCAGACACTGTTGCATCTCATAGACACTGTTGCATCTGTCAGACACTGTTGCATCTCATAGACACTGTTGCATCTCATAGACACTGTTGCATCTGTCAGACACTGTTGCATCTCATAGACACTGTTGCATCTGTCAGACACTGTTGCATCTCATAGACACTGTTGCATCTGTCAGACACTGTTGCATCTCATAGACACTGTTGCATCTGTCAGACACTGTTGCATCTCATAGACACTGTTGCATCTCATAGACACTGTTGCATCTCATAGACACTGTTGCATCTCATAGACACTGTTGCATCTCATAGACACTGTTGCATCTGTCAGACACTGTTGCATCTCATAGACACTGTTGCATCTGTCAGACACTGTTGCATCTCATAGACACTGTTGCATCTGTCAGACACTGTTGCATCTCATAGACACTGTTGCATCTCATAGACACTGTTGCATCTCATAGACACTGTTGCATCTCATAGACACTGTTATATCTCTCAGACACTATTGCATCTGTCAGACACTTTTGCATCTCATAGACACTGTTGCATCTCTCAGACACTATGCCATCTCATTAACACTGTTGCATCTTTCATTGACTTTTTTATCTCTCAGGAAATATTTTATCTCTATAATATTTTTTATATCTCCCAAACTTTTACATCTTTCTGATTAATTTTTTTATCCTTTTTCATTCTGTTCTGTATATCGAATCTTTATATAACAAATAATTAAATAGTTTCTCATATTTATTAACTATTTTTATAAACAATAATCATACACATTTTATTCATATAAATATTTTTTTCACAAACCATTTTTCCTCTTCCTTCTTACAACAAAATCTGGATCTCTTTCCTTGTCTTTATTATCAAAAACTTCTTCGATAATTTTTGAAATCATGTCTTTGTTTTGCTGATATTCATCTGATTCTTCCGGAAGATATGCATTACTTAATGCCAAATCTATCACTTCTGGATGTGTTTTTCTTAATGATGATATATAATGAATTGCCTGAATTGTATCATAATCGATGTTCATCCCAAGATTAAACATGAAACTTGTTGCCTTGTCAATTGACGGAAGATTTAAAATGCGTTGAACAAGACTTTTAACTCCTATATCTGGAGTTACTTGTTCTTCATACAAGTAAATTTCGTTCTCAACTTTGGTTGTAAATGTTTTCCGAGCCGAAATTTTGCATTGTTCATTTTTCCGATCACCCTTTCCTATCGGATTGTCTTCATCATCATAAACTAGAATATTCTTCGAACTATTGAATTCCAATTTTCCAATATGAAATGCTTTAGGTTTTTCTAAATCGGCCGGTTTTACATCTAAGATGTTATGAATACATGGAATATGAACACCATATAGTTTATAAACATTTTCCATGTTGCAGTTGCATTTACAATGCTGTTCGACTTTATTTTTAATTGCCGAAATTTTCAATTTTCTATAAAGTTTCATTACATTATCATTTTTTGGATTATGTTTGAGTGGCTTTAGATGTATGAGTAGTTTTCAATGTCAGTGTGGATCAAGATGTCTGGGAATAAAAGTAAGTCGTAGGTTAATATAAGTTTGATATTAATGTAAGTATGACTTGAAATGTAAGTCTCGGACGAAAGTAAGTCTGACTTGAAATGTAAGTTTCGGACGAAAGTAAGACAGACTTGAAATGTAAGTCTCGGACGAAAGTAAGTCTTGGAAGAAAGTAAGTCTGACTTGAAATGTAAGTCTCGGACGAAAGTAAGTATGACTTGAAATGTAAGTCTCGGACGAAAGTAAGACAGACTTGAAATGTAAGTCTCGGACGAAAGTAAGTCTTGGAAGAAAGTAAGTCTGACTTGAAATGTAAGTTTCGGACGAAAGTAAATGACTTGAAATGTAAGTCTCGGACAAAAGTAAGACAGACTTGAAATGAAAGTTTCGGACGAAAGTAAGACAGACTTGAAATGGAAGTCTGACTTGAAATGTAAGTCTCGGACGAAAGTAAGACAGACTTGAAATGTAAGTCTCGGACGAAAGTAAGTATGACTTGAAATGTAAGTCTCGGACGAAAGTAAGTCTGACTTGAAATGTAAGTCTCGGACGAAAGTAAGACAGACTTGAAATGTAAGTCTCGGATGAAAGTAAGTCTGACTTGAAATGTAAGTCTCGGACGAAAGTAAGTATGACTTGAAATGTAAGTCTCGGACGAAAGTAAGTATGACTTGAAATGTAAGTCTCGGACGAAAGTAAGTCTGACTTGAAATGTAAGTCTCGGACGAAAGTAAGTATGACTTGAAATGTAAGTCTCGGACGAAAGTAAGTCTGACTTGAAATGTAAGTCTCGGACGAAAGTAAGTATGACTTGAAATGTAAGTCTCGGACGAAAGTAAGTCTGACTTGAAATGTAAGTTTCGGACGAAAGTAAGACAGACTTGAAATGTAAGTCTCGGACGAAAGTAAGTATGACTTGAAATGTAAGTCTCGGACGAAAGTAAGTATGACTTGAAATGTAAGTCTCGGACGAAAGTAAGTATGACTTGAAATGTAAGTCTCGGACGAAAGTAAGTATGACTTGAAATGTAAGTCTCGGACGAAAGTAAGTATGACTTGAAATGTAAGTCTCGGACGAAAGTAAGTCTGACTTGAAATGTAAGTCTCGGACGAAAGTAAGTATGACTTGAAATGTAAGTCTCGGACGAAAGTAAGACAGACTTGAAATGAAAGTTTCGGACGAAAGTAAGACAGACTTGAAATGGAAGTCTGACTTGAAATGTAAGTCTCGGACGAAAGTAAGTATGACTTGAAATGTAAGTCTCGGACGAAAGTAAGTCTGACTTGAAATGTAAGTCTCGGACGAAAGTAAGACAGACTTGAAATGTAAGTTTCGGACGAAAGTAAGACAGACTTGAAATGGAAGTCTGACTTGAAATGTAAGTCTCGGACGAAAGTAAGTCTGACTTGAAATGTAAGTTTCGGACGAAAGTAAGTCTGACTTGAAATGTAAGTCTCGGACGAAAGTAAGTATGACTTGAAATGTAAGTCTCGGACGAAAGTAAGTCTGACTTGAAATGTAAGTCTCGGACGAAAGTAAGTATGACTTGAAATGTAAGTCTCGGACGAAAGTAAGTATGACTTGAAATGTAAGTCTCGGACGAAAGTAAGTCTTGGAAGAAAGTAAGTCTGACTTGAAATGTAAGTCTCGGACGAAAGTAAGTATGACTTGAAATGTAAGTCTCGGACGAAAGTAAGTCTCGGACGAAAGTAAGTATGACTTGAAATGTAAGTTTCGGACGAAAGTAAGACAGACTTGAAATGTAAGTTTCGGACGAAAGTAAGACAGACTTGAAATGGAAGTCTGACTTGAAATGTAAGTCTCGGACGAAAGTAAGTCTGACTTGAAATGTAAGTCTTGGAAGAAAGTAAGTCTGACTTGAAATGTAAGTCTCGGACGAAAGTAAGTCTGACTTGAAATGGAAGTCTGATTCTAAATGTAAGTTCTAGACTAAAGTAAGTCTGATTCTAAATATAAGTCTGATATTAAGATAAGTTTGTAACTAAAATTAAGTCTTATTCCAAAAGCAAATTTAATTGTATAATAAGTCTGGATCTAGAGTAAGCCTTAGTCTACAGCTATTCTGTGTCAAAAATAAGTCACGAACCATAGTAAGTTTCGGACTAGAGTATGTCTGTAATTCGAATCATTCATATTCTTCAATTATCCCGCCAAAAAATTATCGTCTTTTTATCATACCATAGTTTTTATCAATCTCGTTCTACTAAAAAACCTTTATATTGGTGATTTCTTTGTTAAACCCGTATTTTTTCATGTGAATCTTATTGTATAAACTCTAAAAGTTCAATTTCCGGTCGAAAAAAACTTGAGAACAATTTGTATTCGACGAGTTAAAGAGCTCTATTTATTCTAAATTTTCCAAAAAAAAATTAGATTTCGTTTTTTCGCTTCAAAAAATGTTGTTTTAAGTTTTAAAATTTGTAATTCAAAATTTTTTTGGAAAGATTTACGATTTTTTAATAATGCGAATGAGTTTTATTTTACATACTCTATTGATAAATCATATTTTTGTCGAGATATAACTTTTTTTTAAAAAAATTATATGCAAAGAGTGTTATAGAATTCTAGAAGGTATAGTGCATAATTTGAAGTATAAAAAAAAAAAAAAAAAAAAAAAAAAGGGAGTGGGGCTTCCAGGCACTTCGTGCCCTCTAGCCCCCGTCACTTTTCTGTCACTTTTCAGGAAAAAACATTTTTATTATATATATAAAATGAATTTTACAAAACCACCGTTACCCTTCTTTGGAAATAAGAGTAGATGTAAAGATATTCTATTGAGAGAACTTAAGAAACTACCGAATGGTCTAACATTTGTAGACTTGTTCGGTGGAAGTTTCTATATATCTCATTTGTGCCATACAATATTTCCTGACTCAAAGATTATATGCAATGACTTCGACAACTATATGAACCATCTCAAACATATACCAGACACAAACAAAATATTGAAAGAGTTAAAAGAAAAGATACCTATAGGTAAGATGGAACGTATACCATTAGATAAGAAAAATACTGTCAGAGAGGTTTTGAAAAAGGCAGAGTATATTGACTGGGATAGTATATCTGCTAGACTATTATATAGTGGTGCTATAAGAGTTCATGACATTGAAACACTTATGTCAAAAGTTTTATATCTTAACTATACAAATGTTTTCAAAGAGAACATAGAAAAATATATTGAGGGTATAGAGTTTGTGAGATGTCGTTGGACAGAGTTGTATGAAAAATATAAAAACAAGGAAAATGTTTTCTTTATAGTAGACCCACCGTTCTATAACACATGGGATTTTCAATACCAAGTAGACTGGACTTTGAGAGACTCTTTAGAAACTTTAGACGTTTTACATAACCATCCATGCTTTTACTTTACATCCGATAAAAGTGGTTTGGAAAGTGTCATGAGATGGTTAGAGGACATACATGACTATGAGTTTAGATACGATAAGATAGAATATGAGAGAGGTCCTATAAACTGGAGAAAGTGTCATAACAAAGAAATTTTACTAGTAAGTAAATGTGGTTTGAAATAGGACTACTTGTTTTAGGTTTTTCCATTGTGTCATTTACTTATTTGACGTGGCAGAAAGATATAGAGAATATGAAGATGAACCAATGCCTGCAAATGTTCAGCATATGTACTCGTAAGAGATATTTTTATCTAATATTAAATGGACGCACAGAACTTAGCGAATGCACAGCAACCTGGACAACCAAACCCAGAGAATATTCCAAATGAAGTTAGAATACAAACTGCAATGGCAAACTATGGTCAAGTGCCAACAGATGTACAAATGCAAACTGCCATGTCAAATGACGCTGCGTTAGGCTTACCACCATGGTATGCAAATATGAGATGGAAAGAGTTTTATACAAACCCTGAAGTGGGATATAAACAACTCTATGCAGATGACGCGAACACAGGAGTTGACCCAGAGTATGTTTTCTACCAGAGGAGAAATAGAATGTATGAGCTCCAGTTAAAGAATGCAATGGAACTCAGAAGGAAACGTAAGAGACTAGGTGGACATTAGATTTTTACATATAGTAAAATGGGTTTCTTCAGTAGTATTGGAAACTTCTTTCGAAATGTTGGAAGAGGTATATGGAATGGAATAAAAACCGTAGGAAGGGGAGTATGGAACGGAGTCAAAAATATTGGCAAAAGAGTAGGTCAGTTCGTTGGTATTATACCTAAAGACCCTGAACCAGAAGAACAAGCTCCTGTTATACAACAGCCTGAACCTGCACCACAGTCTAGTTGGCAACCAAATCCAACACCTCAACCGTATTAAAAAATCATATTTTTACCGTTCGATAGTAGTTGTATATGAAACTAAGTTCTAAGTAAAACGCGTGGTATAATGGAATTATTCTCTTTCTTCCATCTGTAGTAAACCATACTTGAAAGTCTGAAATACTTCCACTCGGTGGTTCATATAGCTTTGTAGGTTTTTCGTAAAAGTCATTTGCCAAGCATAAAAAAGAGTTTTGTGCACCAGAAAATGAAGCATGAACTATAATAGCATCTGAGTCGAAAACATTTTCATATGTTCCATTAGGGTTTTCGACTTCATAAAAGTTCGGGTGTACTGGATATTCTGCAGGCTGATTTAACATCCTCAAAAATCTATACCATGCCAAGTTGTTATATTTTGTAGAAATATAAACGTCTTCTCCAAGGTCTTCTATTCTATTGATTTTAACAGTTGCATTTTTCCTGTCATAAACAATATCGAGATGGTACTCTCCTTCGTCAATGTTGTACTGTTTTGCATATTCGAGATAGATATCGTTTATTTTTTCTTGAAAAGCTTGAAGAGTTGTTTCTAAGTTTACAAGCAAATTCACTTGTAAAAGTTTTCCCTGTTCAAATTTCTCATACGTACGTTTTTCTTTGTTATAGTATCGAACTTCAAAAGCGACCGTAAATGGGAACCCATGTATGGCTTCTGAAATGAACTTCATTCTACGAAAGCCAATAGCTTTTGTGACAGATGGGTCTCTTAACCATCTTAATGGGTAGTCAAAACGATAGCCTTCATGCTTTACGGTCTCTGTCTCAAACTTTTGACCGACATTAGTAAAAAGTTCATCTAATGGTTTAGTTGTAGCAACTCTTGAATTTTCTTTTTCTATTGGAAGCATATTTTATCTAGAATAAAAATGTCAAATGAAACAGCGTCTATGAGAGAAATACAACACAACCGACAACTCATTATGCAAGCTCTAAATAAGAACACAACAAACTTTTCAAACTATTCTAAGATATCTGAGTCATTGAAAGAAGGAAACTTAAAACTGACGATAAACCCAATGACAGACGAGTTTCTGTTTCAAGACAATAGGAACCATACTGTCTGTATAAATCCAACAAAAGGAACTTTAAACGAGAAACCTATAGATGAACTTCTTTTGAAAGCAGATGTTGACAACAAAGCTGACAAAGAGTATGTCATTGAAAAAGTTCAAGAAGAACATGACAGAGCAGATGCAACATATGCAACGAAAGAGGATGTTGAAAAGAAAGCAGATAAAACATATGTTAACGATGAGTTAGAATGTGTGGCTAGTGCGTTAGTGAAGAAGGCAGATAAGGAATATGTGGATGAAAAAGAAAATGAAATTAAAGAAAGGGTTGAATGGTATAATGAAAGGACAACAAAGATTTTAAAAACTAAAGCTGATACAGGATGGGTTTCAGGATGTTTAGACCTTAAAGCCGACAAAGAAACTGTAGATATGTTGGCACAAACGGTTTCAAGTCATACCAGAGGTTTAATGGAAGATGGACAACAGTTGAAAGAGCTTGAGAAAGGTGTTACAGAGTTAAGGAATACAAAAGCAGACTCGACATGGATAGCTGGATATGTAGATGCAACAAAAGAACGTATTTTAGCATGGACAGAAGGAACATACCCACAAAAATATCATAGACATAGCATCTCTGACGTAAATGAACTTGAAGAAAAGTTAGATAAAAAAGCTGACAAAACAGAGCTTCAAACGTTAAAGACAGAAATACTTCAAACAGTATATCCTATAGGTTCTATTTACACGTCAATGAACTCTACCAGACCAGAAGTAGTACTTGGTTTTGGAACTTGGACTCAAATAGTCGACAGGTTTTTGTATTGTGCAAACTCTTCAAAGGAAACAGGTGGAAGTAAAACGATTTCAGGTGAAAACTTACCTGCGCACAGTCACTACATAGATTTAAGTACATCTCAAGCAGGTTGGCATAAGCATAGATATTGGGATTGGTCAGGAATGATAAAAGGTAAAGGATATGATGTTAAAGACAACGTTAAGTTTGCTATAGATTGTTACTGGAGTAACACTGAGGGAGGAGGAAACCATACACATCGCGTTTCAGGGTATACGCAAACAACGGGACAAAGTAAAGACTACATGCCACCTTACATGACAGTTTACGCATGGTATAGAATTGCTTAGTCGTCATTTTCAACTTCTTTAGCATATTCGTCAGGAGTTGTCTTATATTTGTTAGGAACTGTCTTTGAAAGTATACCACCTTGAACTTTGACAAGTTTGAAACGAGGTCTGACAATAGTAGTTTTATCTTCTGCTTGCAGTCTGTACATTTTGCCATGTTTGCCTAAAACTTCATAATATTCTCTTGTATACTTTCTTCTATTTTTACGAACACGAAGGTGAGTACCTGTCGAGTTCCCATTGTTGTCATAGTCAATAGTATTTTCATATGGGTCGCGTTTAGGTATTTCTATTTTTACTTTGTCACCTTTCTTAAGTTTGAAGCCTGGCATTCTTTCTTGTTTGTCTCTTTTGACTAAACTATTAAATATATAGTCTTTCTCTAAGTCGGGGTTGTTTTTCATTTCTTCGGGGGAGTGGTTTCCCAAACCTTTTTGTTTACGGCTATTGTAAATATTTAAAACTTGTCTCATCTTTGCCATGGAGAAATGTCTATATTTGTCGTCATATGACATTTCATCTACCTCACCACCTTGTGGTTGATTTAAATCTCTTAAGATTTTTATACAACTGTCAATGACACCAAGAGCAGAATGGTTTTGGTCGACAATGAAATATTGGTTTACATTTTTTGAACGCAGATAGTTTTTAATATCGTCTGATTTGAAAGAACTTTCACAGTCAGATGTCAGTTTTGTTGGATGGTATTTGTCAACGAATATTGTCAAAGCTGCTAAGATATCTAAAATATTTTTGGACTGTAATGGTATGGCTTCACAGTATCTTGTGTTTTGACCGACAAATATTAGCCAGTATGGTGGTCCATCTTCTCTATACCTCGGAATGTTTTCCAAGATATCCATAAACCAAGCATTTGGTGTTGAACTAAAGATTTTTATCATGAGTGCTTTCTTTGTTGCCTTAGAAACATAGGGGTCCTTGTTTGGATTCGTCATTTTTACCCTATAAGAAATGGGTTTATTTGGCGCATTAGCAGGAGTTGCATCCAGATTTTTGCCCGCAGTGGGAACAATAGCCAGAGGTGTATTTGGAGTTGGAAGGAAGATTTTGAGTACATTAGGTATACTTAAAGAGAAAGCACAACCTATTATACAAACTGTACAGAAAGGTTGGGATGTAGCACGAGATGCAGCAAATCTTATTCCAAATCCTGAAACAAGAGGAAAAGTTCAAGGATGGATGGACAATGTAGGAAGACAAGCAGGAAACTATTATAACAAAGCAAATGACTACTATAACCAAGCAGGGCACTATATGGACCAAGGTGAAAGATTCTTTAACAGAGGATATAACCATGCACAACAATGGGTAAACAATAACCAACCTCAACCGCCTCAAACGTGGGGAATGTAAAGTTTTTTACTGAGATGAAATGAACAATACAGCATTGAGACAAATGGGTTCAAGATGGATTTGTCGACTTCCAGCAGTTACACAACGTGTTTGTCAAGTTCTTCCTATACCTCAGGAAGTTTTAGACCGACTTAAAAAACCTAAACAACCAGTTGAAAACAAACCAAACTAAAATTTTTACTGAGATGAAATGACCGAAGAAGTTGAAACGGTAGATTTGACACCACAAACAAAAAGTTCAGAACCATTGTCAAAACCTGTCAAAGAACTTACAGATGAAGAGAAAAATTCAATAATAGAAAGTGCCAGGTCTGGAAATACAAACCCTAACTACAAAGTCACTTTTCATAGAAATGGAACGGCTAGTATCTCAAAAAAGAAACAGACTCTCACAAATAAAATATTGAAGTCTGAAGGAGCTTTCGAGACAACAGATGGAAAAGTTTACTTCACTGACCAACAGTTCATTATAGAACATCTCATTGACTTAGAGTCGAAATATTCTAAACTTTACAACAAACACAAAAAGTTGAAAGGAAAACAAAAACAAATGGCATATGATATTTATGAAGATGTTGACGACACAACTGTTCCTGCAAGTGAGGTAAAGTCAGAGGAACCGAAAAGTGACGAAAAACCGATAGAAGAAGAAAAACCAAAAACTGAAGATAAACCAAAACCAAAGTTTAGTTTCCAAACTAAACCAAGTCAACCTTCATTAGCTGGTATGGGTTGGCGTCAAAGACTTATGGCAGCAGGTGGTTATGTAAAGTAAAGAAAAAAAATATTTTTTTATTTTTGTAAAAATGCCCCCGTATAGAATGGACAGAAGGTCTGCTAGAATAAAAGCAGAGTTAGAAAGATATGGTTGGAAAGTTTCGAAGAAGTTTAAATATAGGAAGGGAAAGCCAATAAAAGTCTATGACAAACTGTCTGGTCTTCGCTACGAAATGGATTTGGAAACAGCACGTGCCAATTATCCAAACAGACTAGAGAGGTTAGAAGAAGAACGTCTTATGGACATGCCTTTCGATGTTAGTGAACCTCAAGTTGAAGGACACGACGGCTTTGCCAGATTCTACTGGAAACATGACGAACAATTGCATCCCTTGAGACGGAAAAAAGGGAAGGGTGAAGACAAACATGCTCCCATGGAAAGAACAAGATATGCATATGAAAAGTATCGTGAAGTTAGAAGTCAAATTACATCTGGTCGAACCTTTACAGTAAACTTTGACGAAGGAAAGAACAAAGAAGGCTTCATGGGTGTACTTGCTGCCATACAAGACGGAAATAAGAAAGGATACAATCTCAGACTAACCGTAACAGATTTAGATGGTCATATTTACTATGCACATGGCAATGTCACAACAGCCGCACAACTTCTTGACGCTTTCAAGACTACAAAGAGAGAACAAATGGTTGACTCCGACTCAGATATTTTGAATGCAATTGAAGGAATTGTAAGCGTGAAGTTCGAATGGTATCAACCTAACCCTCAAGCAGTCAGACAACATGCTGGATACTTCCCGTTCAGAAATAAGTCTGACATTGACTTGACAAGGTATGGAATTTACAATTCAATCGAAACAATTGTCAATGAACCTTGTATTCTTACATGTCTCAGGAACTCTGGTCTTGTTACAGATGAGAAGATGAAGTATCTTGAGTCATGTGTGAAGACAAGGTACATTCTCAGAGGTCAATTGGCAAAAATTGCACCGTTGGCAAATGTCAATATCCGAGTCAGCATACCTACAGCTAAAGGTTCTTCACATGACGACTATGTTGTTGACAAAGACTTACCATGGTTGAAGATTGTAATTGTCCACAACCACTTCATGTTGAACGAAAGTCTTACAAACCCATTGTTCGGAAAAGGCAAGTGCAACATTGTCAGAGCTGTAAACATTCTTTTCGAGAAAGGTTTGTTGGAACCAATTCCAGATGACAAGCTGACAGAAAGTTTTGTACCAAAAGACGAAACAAACTTTTCACTGTTAGCAAGACCAAAAGTTGTTCCAGACAAAGTTATAGCACAAAAGAAGTACACAGTTCCAAAAGGAGTTGGATTGTTCGGATACCAACCTGAACCAGAAGAACTTCCAATGAGGTTGCAAGAACTTCAAGATGCTATAAACAAACTCCCATTGAGACATCCAATCGACGTCAAATTGTATTGGAGAGCATCTGAGTTAGGTCAGAAGGTTTTATATGAAACAGGTTGCTTCGACGATGTTTATGAGATAACAGGAGAAGTTTCTCAGAAGATAAGAGACTCACTTGAATTTCCACAAACTGGACCAATTGGTTGCGACAAGTTCGACTCAGATGAAAAGATATACTATGTCGACCTTAACGCTGCATACATGAGTTTGTCCAATATATTTCCGACTGGAATTCCAAACGAAGATGGTGAGTTCCCAGGAAGGAACTATACAGTTGGAAAAAGTCATACAACAACTGTATGATATTAGGAAAGCTTCAAACCCCAAACTTGCAATGACACTCAAATTGCTTATGAATTCGACATGGGGATATTCCATTAAGAAACCTCAAGAGATGAAGAGTAAACATTATGAGAAGGTCGACAACTTTGTTGAAAGGTTTTCTCCTTTTGTTTTGAAGTACGAATTCACTCAAGGTCAAAGTGGCTTAGTAACCACATTAAAACCTATTGTCGAACATTGGTCTTACCCTCAGTTCGCAAAGGCAGTCCTTGACAACTACAACAAATTCTTCTCCGAAGTCAAATCCAAAGTGAAGGTTTACTATGAGAACATTGACGCACTCATGACGAACGAAGAAGGCTATAACAAACTCATTGAAATGGGATGGTCGGTGAAAAGATGGGTCAATTCAAATTGGACAAAATTTTCACCGAAGTTCATGTCCTCTCCAAGCGTAAGTACTGGGGTGAAAGAAGGAAATATAAACATTGCATGAAATAAAAAATTTTTATTCGAATTTGAATCGGACAGGTCGAGTTACACCATTCTTGGTCTCAAACTCATATATAACCTGTTTGTTGTATTTTCGTCGACTATGGCACGAGACACGAACATTGACCAAACGGACAAAAAGTGTCATTTCAGATGGTCACGCAGCCAATCGCATTCGAGCACTTCGAAGAAGCCTTACGTTCCAAGGGAGAGGGTGTCTGGTGCAAGGCAGAGGTCATGGACTCTACGAGCAGTACATCCTCAATGCCTGGGAGGACAAATCGTCCTTGGATTGGCAATTCTACCAACTCCTCTGGGACGACCTCCTACGCAACTGGGATGACGAAAGAGTCCAATTCAGAGGTCGGAACTAATTGTCCAAATTACCTTAATTTACATACTTAAAATAAACACCTAAATTTACTCGGGGTTTCCCCCTAAAATAAAATTTTTTTACTCTTAGAACCACTCGAGGTTCTCCTTACGGTTGTTGAGCTTGTCACCGTCAATGTGTCTGACCTTCGTCTTCTTGTTGGATTTGGAACCCATTGAATTGCGACAAGCTTGCCCATGGAATTGAACCGCGATTCCGAAGGTAAGGTTCAAGTGTCCCAAGTTGTTGAGGACTGGGGTAAGAACCTTGCCTGTCTCCTTGTTGCGGATTTTGTATGGGTAGGGTTGGGAAATTTCGTAAGCGTCATCGGCAACAAGGGTTGCCCAAACTTCCTCTTCTTCGTGTTTCTCTTCTTCTTCTCTTCTTCCTCTTCTCTCTTCTCTCTTCTCCTCGACAATTCCTTCTTCAATTTGGTACTCACGAATTACGGTGTTGGAGTTCTGTCCTTTCCGAGTACCTTCCAGATGGCGTCTATCTCTTCGAAGAAACGGTAGATGAGTCTGGCAAGGTCTCGGTTCTCTCTCGCGTAAATGCGCAAGGTTTCCGTCAAATCATTCAGGCTTTCTCATTGGAAGCTTGGTTCATGAGGAATCTCACTTTAAGTCTTCATCTCTTCCATAAGACTACTTTGGAGAGTCTTAACGGTGTTTGTCAGATGAGCTTTCAAATTCAAAATTTGAATTTGAACTGGGCGCTTGTCTGGCAACATTGAAAGGACATCTGCCATTGTGTTCGGCTTCGGTGCTTGTTCGGACATCGAAAAAATGAAGTGGTTTGAGAATGACGGTTTTACTTCAAAAAGCTTGTTATGACGGTTAAGTCATACAACAAGTTTAAAATAATATCTTGTTCTTCTTCTGAACGTTTGTTGTCTCTTCCGATAAAAGTTTCGAACATGAGAACCAAAAAACGTTTTTTGAGATTGCGGAAGAGTTCAGGCAAACGTTCATATTCTGGATATGTTGGGAGCAGTTCAAAACATCTGAGCTGACTTTCGGACAAAATTGGGACAATGTCAGAAAATTCATCTTTGGTCGGACTGCTTGAAGGTAAGTCCCTTACATGTAAGTAGCTCTGGTAAAGTCTTCTCATTTCTGCTAACTTTGGAGTATAGCTTCGTAGTTTAGAAGTTTTAATTTTAATTGTCTTATTCCACTCTTGACATCTAAACGGTAACTATCCATGAGGTCAAGAGTAGCTTTGGTAGCTTTAAGTGGAGCTATCTCTTCTTGACTTGTGCAATTTTGGTTGCAATTGTGGTTTGAGCTCCTTCAAGTTCGCCGTCTATGTCGTTCTCAACGCCTTCAACCATAGCTTGAAACTCTTCATCGGTCCATTGAGATTGGTGTGGGACGAATTTAACTTGCTTCATTCAAAAAATGAAAAAAATGTTTTTACTCAAAGCGTGCCATGTATATGGCTATAAGAAACTTACCAGAAGGCTTCTTCTTCACATGAGTCTTTGGCAACTTGAGTGTTGGTGTTGGAGTTGGGTCTGGAATTTCAATTCTCTCTCGAGCGCAACAACAGATGTCAGAATAACATTCCCCACTGTCTTTCTTGCCACCATAAATTGTGTATTGACCGAACTTGCATTTGCAGGAAGACCGGTCAATACAAGGTTCACAGTTGACATATGTGTACACATACCTGTTGAGTACGAGTGTGAGTAAAAACATAAAAAAGTGAAGTTAAAATGAGATGTTTACTGTAAAGGTACGATGTCGCCTTCTGTGTTTATGAAGAACGCCCGACCCGAGAAGTGTAAGAGTCCTCTGAGAATTTGGGCAATTCGTACAGTTGGGTTCTCTCTGTTTGGAAGTAGTATCCAAGGACGCTTGGCAAAGAACTTCAAGAGGACTTCTTTCTTCATCTCTTTTATGTCGTCGAAAGGAGTGTTTTCTGGTATTTGCAGGACAATTCCAGTGTCAATTTCAATTTTAAGCGCACTTCTTCCAGACACCCAGCCTGCAATGGTCTTGTTTGACTTCAGATGGCTCAGGTAGTTCCTAACTAGCTCATTTATCTCTATAAGGTAGATTGCCTCATCTGCTGGGTCTATGTCGGTCATTGTTTCAAGACGAGTCTTTTACTTTTTCAAGACGAGTCTTTTACTTTTTCAAGACGAGTCTTTTACTTTTTCAAGACGAGTCTTTTACTTTTTCAAGACAAGTCTTTTACTTTTTCAAGACAAGTCTTTTACTTTTTCAAGACAAGACCCGTTATTTTTCAAGAAATTTTTTGGTGTAAAGTTCTCAAATTTGAGAACAGTGGTCTTGATTTCAGACGATACCCGTACTTTTTCAAGACAAGTCTTTTACTTTTTCAAGACAAGTCTTTTACTTTTTCAAGACAAGTCTTTTACTTTTTCAAGACAAGTCTTTTACTTTTTCAAGACAAGTCTTTTATTGTTTCAAGACAAGTCTTTTACTTTTTCAAGACAAGTCTTTTATTGTTTCAAGACAATGTCCGACGTACCACCAACCGAGCCCATATCCCAACCAGAGGAACCTAAAGCACCAGCCCCTGCACCTCAGCAACCTCAGTTCCAACAAGTACCTCAGTTCCAACAAGTACCTCCGAATTACTACCAATTTCCAAATTACTACCAAATACCTCCTCAAGGCTTCCCGAACTACCCTCCTCAGCCTATGCCTTACTGCCCTAACCCTTGGATGTTCATGTCAAACCCTCCACCCCAATTCCAATTCCAATCTCAATCCAAGAGAGACCAAGAGTTCGAAGAAGGTCTGAACCGTTTACGCAAAGAGTATGCCACAGCCCCTATGGAAGACGACAGGCTTTCAGTCTCTTCCCTAAGGTCGACCAATTCGACTCGTACCACAGATTCGGTTCGTGACCGTGACGACTACCTCAAGCAGTCTGAGAGACTCTTCATCCTACAACCATTTACAGTTGGAGCTCTCAAGAACATGCGCAATTACGAAGGTCAGACACCAGCTGGAGACCGCAAAACAGACGTACTCGCAAGAGCAGTCCAACTGGTCAAGACAAAGACTGAGATAGTCGACTTCATTCTTGCAGCTTGCCCATACAAGTAAAAAAATAAACAATTACGAGTTAAACTTTTTATTCTTTCTTTTCTGAGTTGTTTAGAGCTGGTTTCTCTTGTAGGAACCTTTCGTACTCTTCCATGGTCATGTAATTGCGAATTTGGTACGCAATTCCAGGTTCGTTGTTTTTGAACCTTACGTATGTAACGCTTCCATCCTCCTCAGGGAAGTAAGCTGCTAACATCTGACCAAGTTTTCTCGGTGACTCGGAGCTCATAAAAATGTCACTTTTTAAACGTTAAGTTTTTAGTCTTATTTTACCCTTTGTTTACCCTTTGTTTGTCAAGGTAGTATTGGAGTGCAATTTCTCCAAATTCTCTGTGTCGGAGTTCTTCAGCATTTTCCAAGGTGTACCTGGAGAACTCAAAGAAGTTGTCAAGAAGATACTGCCATGCTGCTCTTCTGAGTTCGTCGGTATTTTGGAAGTGTTGCACCTTCGAGTCTTCGGACATGAAAAAATGACACTTTTTCTATTAAACCGTTTTGGCATTTCTCATGAGTGAGTATAGTTCTGCCGAACCATTGGAAGAGAAGTACCCTTGCTGGCAAAAGACAAAAATAGTTGCCTTAGTTGTCATTGCAATTGTACTCGTAATTGAATTCATTGTACTTCTCTTCACGTACATAAAACTCAGCAATGGTATTTGCTTTAAGAAGCTACCATCTTACTAAGACTAAACACTTAGATTTTTCAAGCTTGACTTTTTACAATTTGAATTTTGTTGCTGAATTCAGCAAAAATATATTTTAGGTGAAGAGGTGAGATTTCACCTCTTTTTTCACCTGTTTTTTCACCCTCTTGAATTTTCATGATTTCATCGTAAATGTTTTGTCGAAACTTCATCGTAATGAGCGTAAATCAGACAAAAATATATTTTAGGTGAAGAGGTGAGATTTCACCTCTTTTTTCACCTGTTTTTTCACCCTCTTGAATTTTCCCGAAATAAAAAATAAAGTTGGTTTTTTTAAAAAAATATTTTTTTATTTTTATTGTAAGAACATGTTAGCAACAACAGCACCAAACTCGTTAGTTATGAATCCAACTTCAATGTTAGTAGAGATGAAAAGCTTCATTCCTTCTTCATATACTTTCGAAACAGAAATCCAGAAGATAAAGCAAGAACTTCTCCAAGGAGATTTAGATTGCACTGCAAAAGATGAAACAAATGAACAGTATCTTTATGAAATGCAGGACATTATTGACCATTTACCTAAACTTCCTGAAATACAACAACAAAAGCTCACTATTCCAGAATTCGATGAAATAGAAGTCAAAGCAACTGACTCAGTAGAAATAAAGAAGTTCATACGAAAGGTAAACTATGAGTTTCTAGGATTTCATTGCAACCATAAAGTTATGGACAAAGATTGCGATATGGTATATAAGAACATCTCTGACATATATAAATCTGGGGAGTTTAAGACCTACGACAACTTTGTTTCGTTAGTTGCAAAATGTGTTTGGGAAATAAGAGATAAAGATAGTAGGGGTAAGGTATGGAACGAACAAATAAAACCCGCTATGTTCGAGATGAAGAGAGCAATTGACGCCTTAGTTGTTTTAGCAGGTAAGGTTTCAGAATATAACGCAAAAATGAACCCGCAATGTTCTAAATGTAAGGCAGCAATTAGGAAATATAACTACTCAGTCAAAGAGATAGAACGTATGAGAAACGACTATGCAGATTTAAAGAAAGAAGTAGAAAAGCCAGCAGAAGATAAAATGGACATGTTAGAATTTCTGAACAAAAACTATCCAACTGCTGACGATTTCCTTCTTTCAGATGTCAAGAAGAAGTATAAAGAAACCTTCGGCATAGTTAAAACATTCGATGTACTAAAAGAAGAAATCGAAGCCACAAAATTGTTTAGGATTTCAAATATACATCATACAATTCATGTAAAACGCTTATAAAATAACTGAGGTGAAAAAAGAGGTGAAAAAAGAGGTGAAATCTCACCTCTTCACCTAAAATATATTTTTATTGAATTCTGAGTAAAATGACCAAATTTCATTATATAACTGTTATGAGTGACGAAGAGAACTTTGACACTTCGTAAAAAAATCCCTGAAATCATATCTTTTATACAAAATTCAAGAGGTGAAAAAAGAGGTGAAAAAACAGGTGAAATCTCACCTCTTCACCTAAAATATATTTTTATTGAATTCTGAGTAAAATGACCAAATTTCATTATATAACTGTTATGAGTGACGAAGAGAACTTTGACACTTCGTAAAAAAATCCCTGAAATCATATCTTTTATACAAAATTCAAGAGGTGAAAAAAGAGGTGAAAAAACAGGTGAAATCTCACCTCTTCACCGAAACATTATTTTTGCTGAAAAATGACCAAATTTCATGAATTTCCTCATAAGATTGCTATCCTCGAAAAACCGAGAGAAGAGATTCCGTATGAAAACAGTGAAGAACAGCGAGTAGGTAAGAAACCCCAGTCGCCAAAACTCATGAAAATCGTGAAAAATAACAGAGTATTTTGACAACTTCAAACAAGTAGAGTAAATGAACTCTTTATTTTTGCTGACTTTTTACAATTTGAACTTTGTTTGCGTAGATATGAATTCTGAAAGAAGTATGAGGGTCTTGTATGACTTTGTACTTCTCCCATAGTTCATGTCTGTCAAACTTACCTGCCATGGACTCTTTCATAAGTTCCATGAAATCGTCTTCGGACAATCCAGGGAAAAGTATGATATCAGTAAGTATTCTTTTAACATCCTTACTTAAACTCTTTGCTGTCTGTACACAAATGACAACTGAGATGTTAAAGTGTCTGAGCTTCTTAAGAATTCGACACATATCTTGTTCTCTATTCTTAAGCAAAGGATGAGAAGCAAAGTCATCTAAGATAAGAAGACATCTGTGAGGGTAAGTCTTCCAATCGTAAGATTGCAATTTCTTCGAAATGTATTCTATCTCTTTCTGTTTGTTTCTGAAGTGTTTCTTCTCTAATATTCTCTGCATTTCCTCATTTGGGTCTTTAAACTTCGAATTGACATACTCATTTATAGCATTGTACTTCAAAACTCTTCTTTGGTACTTCTTTATCCAATCTAACAACTCAGAGTCTTTTATACATACTAACTTAGACTTTTTTATAATATCTTTGAACGAATTGACGGTTTGGTCAAATTGACCAGAAGTACTACAAATAACAACTAACTCATAGAATGGGTTCTTCTCATCTAGTTCTTGTTGTTGTGCAGCCATTTTAAGATAAGTGAAAGTCTTGCCCGACCCAGGTGGTGCGATTAGACCTGTTATACCATTCTGAGCAAATAGAACTTGTCATGTATGGGTTTTATCTGAGCATTTTCTAACTTCCTCTTGTTCTTGTTTAAAACATTCTCAAATTTTTGTCAATGTCAGCAAACTTTTTTTCTAACATATTTTTAGAAAAATTAAAATTTTTATCTTTTAGAAAATGTCTAGCGATTTCGCTATCTATATTCGAGACAAGCTTTTCGACAGCAAAACATCTGTAGACCATAAAATCTTACATAGTGTAAACAAGAAAGGTGAATTTGTTCTAAAGTTCTGTTTCTGGGAATATGACAAGAACCATAAAACATTAAGCAGAGAAGTCTTTAAGTTTGTCAATGACAGACTTGTTGACAGAGATGACGCCGATTGGAAAGATGAAGTCCAACAAAAGTTCTTAGAATGCAAAGAAGACACATGCGCTGTTCTTGAAGATGAAATAGAAAACAGAATAGAAGAGCTATTAAAGGACAAAGACCTTTTACATAAATATGGTTCTGAGAAGTTTGACATAACTCCACCAGAGAAGAAGAAGAAGAGAGAGAAGAAAGAAAAGAAAGTAGAAGAAGAGAAGAAAGAACCTGAACCAGTTCCAGAGAAAAAGAAATTTGACATGTAAAAATAAACTTTTATTTTTAGAACATTTCTGGGTCAATGTCAATGTTCTCTTCCTCTTTAGGAGCAAACACTGGCTTAGACTCTAAAATCTTTTTACCCAATTTACCTTGAACTTCAACTATCTTAGACTCATAATATTCATAGTCGTCTGCTTTCTTTGGTTCATAAGGTATAACAAGTTTGTATGCTTTGCCTTCTTTAAGGTTTGAAAACCTTCTGTCAAAATTTTCTTTGACTGCTAACAAACCTTCTATGTCTAAGTCTTCAAATTTCGCACCATTTTTAGTCACAATAGCAAACTTAACTGGTTCGATGTTCCAAACTTTGCTGAATGAAGACTTTTCAAAATGGTAGAAGTAAACATTCAAATATGTGAATGGGTCTAGTTCTTCTTTAAGTCCTGACATGTACTTATTTACTGAGATGAATTTCGTCATCTTTTTTATCGGATAAAAAAATATTTTTTATAAAATTTACTCAGAAAAATTTTTCTTTGTATATACGCCGTTCTGAACATCTAAAAGATTTTTGACATTTGCCAAGAATGTTCGTTTAGAAGCTGCCATATAACCATATTCTTGACAATACTGTTTATACGAATCGTACAATGACCTTTCATCTAAACACTCAAAGTCAGTTTCATCTATAAACAGTTCATAAACACTCTTGTTTGCTTCTAACAATGTTTGTCTTTCTTCGGTATGTGGAATTTGTCTTGGATTGAACTTTGAAATATCTAATGTCATGAAATATGAGAACAAGTGGTTGTAAAAGTTAGGTGTCAAAGTTTCTGCTAAGTCGTCAAAATATTCTGTATCTTGCATATGAGAATCTGACGTTCTGACAACTACATATCTTCTGTCAGAACTTTCTAACTTCATCGGAACAACATTGTTTGAAACCATGATGAAATTTGCAACATTTTCACAAACTCTTTGGTCTTTATATTTTCTTTCAACAACTCCAACTTTGTCTGTTATAAGACTCTTCAAAGCATCTGAGTTCAAAACTTTTGTTGTATCTATACTTTGAAGTTCATTGCAAACTATAAGTTTCATATTCTCTATTGAGGAGTTAAACTTGCCACAGATGTTTTCTAAGTTTGTCATATTAGGGTTCGAATAGCCCTCTAACAGTTTGCACAAAATATCTGTAAAGAATGTGTTCTTACCAGTTCCTTGTTTTCCAATTATAATGAGAGCAGTTTCATTTTTAGCACTTGGATGTTGTAAGATGTTTGCAAACCAACATAAGATATACTCATAGACTCTTTCGTTTCCATTGCATATAATTTCTTTGACATGGTCTAACCAAGCTTCTATAATATTTTCTTTCCATTCTACTTGTTCGTATTTATATCCAGTGAAGATAGAATAGAAGTTTGGAGAAGGTGTATAGAACTTTATACCACGAACTGAAAAATCTTCTAACTTTGACAATAAGATATCCCAAGCATCTAACATCTTCATTCCAACTTGTACAACTTTTATTTTCTTAAGTTTCTGTCTACATTCTTGTTCAGACACTATTGTTGCTCTTGGTTTGTTAAAGACAACATCCCATTCTTTCATGACATAACATTCTGGGGCAGAGTCAACATAAATGACTAAACGTTTCAAATTCTCGACTGCTTTGTTATAGTCTCGAAATGGACACATATTTCTGAATGCTTGGAAGTCATAAAAATCTGAAACATCTATTCTGTACATTTTTATAAAAATAAAAAAAAATATTTTTTTTATTCTTGACTTTGTTGTTGCATTTGTTGTTCTTGAGCTATTTGTTGTTGAAGTTGTTCTTGGAGTACAATACTTTCACCAGTTGCATCTTCCAATTCGAAACTTTCTGCCGTCATTGACAAATACATAGGACATAAAAGTTTTACAGGAACAAAGTTTGCGTCGACTAATGTCAAGTTTATGTTTGCTAAAGTGTTTGAGTTTACTAAGGTTGAAAATTCTGCATTCGAATGAACAATAGGCAAACCAGCAGAGAAAGTGTTGTTTATACGCATGAGTATCTTTTGGTCATAGTAGTTTCTGTCGACATTCGAATAGCACTTTGAACCTAAGTTTGAAACAATATATAAGATTGGTGTGCTTAATGTCAATGGAATAGACATTCCTTGTATGACACCTTTTCCTGTTATAGGAAACTGTTGGTAGTAAAAACCAGATATAAGTTTTGTATTATAGCTCATATCGTTTATACTAAACTCAGTCGGACATCCAAACATAATGAAACCTGCTCTAGTTGCAGCACATGTTACATCCGTCCTTAAAGTATTAAATAAGTCAACAAAACCTGTTGGTGGTATATCTGAGTAAGTATCTTCAAAGAAGTATTTTTTACCATTCACAACAACAAAGTCTTCTGGTGTCAAAAGAGCAAAACAGGCTTTAGTCGTCATCGTGTTTAAGGTCAGTTTACAATATCGTCCTTGAGGACTTTGTAAGTTTGTTGTTATAGAATTATATGACTCAGGGTTTTTAGTCGTAATAGTATAAACCACTATGTCTTCTGCCATTTACTTAGCAAGTAAATTTTAATGAAATGTTGTGGTCGTCAAATATTTTTATGACGTCTGGGAAACTATATTTTAAGTTCAACGTTTCACCTCCTTTCATAACGTATATCTTGTCAATGACATTATATGAAACACCACAGCAACTAACGTCGGGTTCTATTTCTTTGATGTTTATATCGTCTGCCTCTGTCAAAAGTTTCAATAGTTCTTTCAAAATTTCATGAGGTGCGATGACATATGAGTTCACTTTTACAGGGTTGTGTTCGACCAAGTTTAACATTATACCCAAAGCTTGACAAATCTTCTCCTGAGTTTTAAGTTTGTCTTTAAGTTGTTGGTAGTCGTTTCGAATATCTGCAACAGAACTTAAGTCTCTGCTAACTTCAGGATATGTTGGTTGTTCTTTTACAGGAACTATTGTTATACCATCTTCGTCTTCGTATGGTTTCCCCACTTCAACATCTCTGTCTTTGACATTGACAACAACACTTTGACTGTTTGTTTGAGTTGGTGAATTTAACTTCACATCTGCCACCGCCATTAAACCTTTTGAAACACTCACGCTTCTATTTTTCGGAAATGACATTTTACTTAGAATAAAAAGATGGACGTATTTGAGTATCTCTTCGAATTGAAGCAAAACAAAGTTTACACACACAAACAATACAAGTTCATTGACAGAATAGTTCTTTACACAACAATGGAAAATGTTATAGAATAGCAGTCTTTGCTGAACCAAAATATTTTCATAAAGCAAAGAAAGTTGGTATAACTGAAATGGTGAAAGTTCTTGAAGCAGACAAAAATATAACAACAAAACTTACAGATATTTCTAAAGGTAAGTTTATAATACAATTTATGTCAAAACTGGCGTACTGTCAATATTTGACGGAGAGAAGTCAGTTCAAGAACAACTTACTGACCTGCTGCCAAAATCTGCTCGATGGAAGCTGTCGTTATACCAATCTGAGGAGCCCCAGCAGGTTTCATCGAACGAATTTTCAAAAGAGCATCTTCCGTGAAAAGTGCTATTGGTTTTGTAAACTTCTTTGCTTTCAATTCATCTGGACCGTCTCTGTCACCAGTATATTGTATTTGAACTGTACCAACAGTTGAAATACCACCCATAAAGTCTTCTGAGTCAGCAAATGGAATGCCAAGCCAAAAGTTTGAACGGTCTCCATTTGTATATTGAGTTTTTTGACTCCTGTATGGGTCCATACTTTCACATATGGCATAATAGAACTTTGCATTTCAGGGTTAATGGTTGTTGTGAAGTTGTTGTTAAAGTTCATAGCATCTAATGTCAAGTTGTATGACCTCATATCCTCAACTGTAGAATATTCTTCTCTTGGAATATTTGCCATCTATGTTTATATGGTATTTAATACCAGGGTTGTAGAAGCAAGAATAGTCATTTATAGTTCGTCTGAACAGTACAAACATAGTATCTGCATGTTTCATTGCAGTTGTTAAAGCAATATCTGTTCTTGCACCTGGGTCAGCACTTTGGTTTCCAACTTCACCTGCAAAGTCTTTGACAGATATTTGGTGTATAGGGAACATAAGTGGAACTGCAATATATTTGGCAGCTAAAGCATTTGAAATATCTGGGTCCAACATATAGACTGCAAGTCTGCTTTCTATTCTCTTGCATTCAAATTTTTCGCATGTGAACTTAACTGGGTCCCAAGCATCTCCAGCAGCATTGAAATAATAGTTTACTTCAGTGTTGAGGTTTGAGAAACCAAAGTCTAAGTCAACTTTGTTTTTGCAAAAGTCGGCGAATGACATTTTATTTGTTCCCACTACTTCTGTAAGAGTGAATGGGTCTTGTGTTGGTGCAATGACTAAGTTATTTTTGCTTGGAGTAAGTTCGATAGAAATTTTTCCTGCCCAGTTTGGCAAGTATCTTAAAAACCTGAAGATGAGGAAAGATGACAAAGGAACTCTAAGTTTCAGTTTTACTTTGGTTACTGCTGCTGCAGTTTGTCCAGAAAGGTTAACATAAACTCCTGGAACGTTAGGGTCAAGTCTTCTTATTTTCTCAATAGTTGCATACTGGTCTGTTTGTTCTCTAGCTTGTGGTTGTACTGAGTTTCTCAAAGCGAACCATTCATAGTTTGCCCATGTTACTGTTTGAACTAAGTCAGAGTTAGAATATATCTTATATCCCATGAAAACTTCTGGAGCATATTGGTATCCGACATAGAAAATTCCATTGCAACCTTTCTTGTCAGACAACTTGGCAGAAGGTTTTATTTCAATGTCTTGTTCCACGTATAAGAAAGAGTTGTCAATAGAAAAATATGAAACCTGTCGCAAGCAATATCTACTGTTGTTGAAGAACCTTCTCCAAACTCACCTACGTTTCCATAAGAAACAGCAGTTGTATATTCGTAAGTTCCAGGAACTATTTCTGACCTTCTAATGGCATTGTCGCATTCGTTATACCATTCGGAAACATTTCCATTCATGCATCCAAAACTGTTGGCGTTATATTCTGAGCGGCGTACATTTCATATGAGTAAAAATATAGAATAGTTGGATTTATATGTCATAATAGAACCCACGTGGACCAAGCTTTACTTTTTCTCCTGACTGAGTTTTTAACTCTTCTTTTTCCTTCATTGCCCTCTGCTTGAAGTTGTTGCATCTTTGCATTATGTTCATCTAGTATGTTGCAAATTTCCCATGTCCTTTTTGCCTTTTGGCTCTGGTCGCCCATCTCAGGTAACCTATATCCTAGAAAGAGTTTGTCATAGTCTGTATTTGAGTCTCGCGTATTGTTTGCATGACTCTTTCCTGAGTTTCGGTTCAAGCTCTTCAAACAGTGCCTGTCCATATGGAATAAGCTCGTTTCCAAATATATGTTTTTGTAGCCATTCTGGTTTTCTTTCCATGTTACCAACTATATCTTTTGTGAATGGGAAAGCTTTACCCAATCTTTCAGTCTTGCGTCGTTTATTTCTGTAGTTGTTTATTTTGTCAAGGAACATGTTTTTCAATACTAACATTTCATTTGGTACTGTCCATTTGAGTTTTCTTAATATTCATCCCTTCTCGTTCATTGTCTGCAAAGTAAGTTTTTATGACATTTTGTAAACTTTCGTTTGCAAGGTCATGTACAATAGGTTCTTTC